TTTAATTCATTATCTGAGAAAGAGTATTGTCAATAATTAAAAGGGAACATTGGCAACATTGTCAATAATTAAAGGGTCACACTTTCGTACGCTTATAATGTTAATGAAAATTGAAAACATTATCTTTCGAAACATTTGAAATCCTACGATTAATACTTTACTGATACTGATACAAAAGCTACGTTTACCTTGTCTGGATTTAAACTTCCGGAAAACCCACGAGGAACCGAATTATTATTCACTGTACCTCCCTCGTTAACCGTAAGAGTTAATTCTTCTTGAGGGTACGGAATTTTCGTACCTTTAGCACGATGTCGTTTCCAGTAACAGTTTTCCAACGTCTTAATAAACAAAATTTCAACTAGGCGGCATATTGGTACTTCCGGAAGTCCCGTGCCGATTGCTTTTCCCGGGGAAAACTCGATGCACTTTCGAGCAGGACGCGGACTCCGGAAGGATATGCAACGTTTATGAAAATCAAGTTCCCGCGGCCATATTTGCGATGATTTATGAAGATCCAAGTACCTACTGGCCTGAATAATGGAAGTTTCTGAAAATGGATGTTGCACACCGACAATGAGGCATCTTGTGGTTACTACACCGTCGGTTGCATCCTCCGATCGTACATTCGTCAGCCATGACGGCGATTTCTCTTTACTTTGAAAAATACTCGGAGGAAAGTGGAGAGCCATTAATTTCATGAGCACCTTTTCTGCAGGGAAAGGATGGCTCGTGAACGATCAATTTTGGAAAAATAAGTGAGCTAATATCTAAGATGTCGAAATCACACGAATACCCCTCAAGCTCTATTATTAATTTTGCAAGTATTCTTTACCATTCCTTCAATAATAGTTTCATAAATATTCTCATTACATGAAAATTGAATTACTTGCATATACAGGGTGATTCATTTAACTTGAGACATTGAAATATCTCGAGAAATACGCATCGTACGAAAAAATTGTTCAGAACGAAAAATATTCGTATCAGAGGGGCATAGAAAGAGCTATCAGTTTAACTGTAGATGCCGCTCTTGTCGGTGAAAGTGAGGTTAGGTTCATTTTCTTAAATAGCACCCCTATTTTTTTATAGCAGATTCCTATTTTACGTACAAATATAAGAAACTTTTGTTCGCATTTGCACTTTTTCAAAGGTTATAAGAGTTTAAATTTCAAATGCCCGGACAACTGCGACATTCCCACCGACGGCGTCTCTCCATGGTACGTGATCATAGTACCTTAGGAACAACTCAATGTTCGTTGTTAAACAAAACAACAAAACACCCCCTGCGTTGCCGAGGGATTTCCGCGATTTCCGCGATCATCGTCAATTGTTTTTGGACGTAAGCGACGCGTTGCTAGTCGAAGAAGCCATTCTTGTGTGCAGGGGGTTGACACTCTAATCGGAGAAATTAGATGGTGTTTGCAGCGCCATCTGTCCTCGTAGACGGAAGTGAGGAACTAATTTTGCGTTTACGCGTTACTCATTAAAACGACCAATGACATCTGTATTATTTCTTCAGTACCCTTATGGTGCGTTCGGCCACATGCGCGTTAGCATTATTTTTACCCGACTTGTTCGTCTATTATTTATTTCGTTAATGATAAATAAAACACTATCGACGTTATCACAATACTTATTATTAAACCCAATTGGCATATACAAACTTTCTTTTATTACGACTTTGATAGAGCACGCATTTTAGCGGTAATTCCGTCGTTAGACTCTTTTAATTCTTCTACTACATATATAACTACACGGCGGACTAAGGTGTATTTGCGTTGCCCTATCGGAGCGCCGCTTCGGCGTTTGCCTGAACTGTGTATGCGGTACCGTTGTCCTAGGTGCTGACGCCACACCCTGTAATACCCTGGCGACATCTATGATTTTCACTTTTTTACCTTTTACTCAACCTACCTTCTTCTGTTTATTAAAAATTTTCAAATGTCTAAATCATCAAAATTTGAAATGACCTGTAGTGGCGGTAATAGCTGAAGTAATAGAGAATGTAATAAACTTCAGCAATAAATAATTACTGGAAAAAGTGTATGTTTTTATTTCTGTACGAAAGAAACCTAGGACATTCGATGCGTTCCTCATTACAAAAGAAGGAAAATTAGTTCACTTTTCGTTCCCAACAACGTATTGATTTTATAAATATATTTTAAAGTTGCAATAGATTTGAAGTTATCATCAAATATAAATACAGCGAAACACCGTAGGAAGGTATATTTATGTACATATATAGATATATGTAACTTGGTAAGTCGAATGTAAATGACATTACTATGGGTTATGTTTCTTTAAAACTCATAGATCATTATAAAAGAAAAGTTTTTAATTCATCTCATTATTNCTGTAAAATTTACAGTAATATTAGATAATTTTTTCTTAAGTAACAGTTTCTGAATTTTATTCAATTTAAATTTATGGCGGGAAATTTTCTAGTTCATACTTCCGATACTATAGATCCAGAGGCCGCTGCAAACACTAGTCTCGAAGAATAACATGCGAGTGTCCAGCTTCATGCTTGGGTGGACCACGCGCGTGAGCATGAACCATGCACGTTTCAGACAAAAGTTTCTTATTTTTGTACGTAAAATAGGAATCTGCAATAAAAAAAAAAGAACTTAACCTCACTTTCACTGACAAGAGCGCCATCTACAGTCAAACTGATAGCTCCTCTTTGTGTGCCCCTCTGATACGAATAATTTTCGTTCTGAACAATTTTTTCCTACGATGCGTATTTCTCGTGAATTCCCCTTAAGTTCTCGTAAGATCTTCATGTCTTACATTATCCTTAATGCTTAACCAACGCTGTAGAGTCCCAAGAACTTTATCATATATATTTATAATATTTTTGCCTTACAATTCGACTACATTGATTAAGGATTAATTGGCTCCTCTTTGACGCGTTCAAACCGCTTGCTTTAATTACTGACTATAAATAAAATGCGTAGAAATTGGCTATATTTCACTCGGTATCCGCCATCGCGGTTATCCCTTTTGTAAGGATCAAGTATCCCCGAAATCTCGTAAATTCTTGATGGCTCGAGGCTTCCTTGGGATCTTTGGAAGCGAATTCCTCGCTAAGGAAGCATTCGCGGTATTAAGACGATTTGGCAGTCGCGAGTAATCCGACTTTACGGTTACGATTTCTCGTTGAGCAAGATGGTGGAGTGGAATGACGGAGTAGTCGTTAATCCACGGACCGGTGAGGATTCGTCCGATGTAAAACGACGTCGTCAAGGCCAGTTTAATCTTCCCTGAACCCTCATTAACCCGAAAATACTACATCTGACGATTACACCTGCATTACACGCCTCCCAAACATAATGCGAATAGATTCTTTACGCAAGTATTGAATTGTAGTAGAGATTATTAATTGCCGTAGGGATGATCCCTACGATACACTTTACCTTAAAATATTTGCGCTTAAAATAACAATTACTAACATAAAACTTACGTAATAAACATTACGCAGGACCTTATATACAATCGTAAATATATTTTTCATCATATTTATTGCTAAACATATTAGACATCACCTGAGCTGCTCTCGATCAAAATATACCGCTGGCACTTAAAACTGCAATCGAATACAATATTTATGTATCAAACGCCAAAGCTCACTCGTAAATTTCAAACAAATCCGTGAAAGAAACTCATTAAACATTACTCAATCATAAACGTTTCAATTTCGTCTCGATCGTCGATAACGAAACCAAGGACGATTCCTTTAGGAATTGCTGGCAGAAATTCGAGCAGGTACCAAGTTCTTTGTTTCCCGTTAGTGCGAAACATATGTGTGAATGCATATGCATCGTGGAAGTGTCCGTATGTGCGAATGTATATGCATCGTGCAAGTTGCGCGTGAATCCACGGGTGAGACACGAGTCGTTAATCCACGTTGACTTTCGATTTTCGTCGATGTCTCACGGGTGGAGGCACTGGTGATACATTAGCACTAAAGACTACTGACGGAAGTGCAAATCTTGAGCTGTCCAGGGGCCCGATTTTCGAGTTTAGATGGATTTTTTTCGGATACGAATAAATTTGCATGAAAAATGTTGCATTGTCGCGAAGTCGCGATGTTGATTGGTCAACATTTGAATGTCGTATACGAAAGTGTCAATTTCCCATGCAAAAGTTAAGGTGATCTAAAAGAGTCAGCCGATATATATCTGAGAGGTCAAATCGTTGGTGGAAATATTCTCCGAATTGGGTGTACCGATTCGTTTAAAATTTTACCACGTCAATATGGAGGCCCTAAAGTAGGTCCTGAAACTCATGAAGTTTCATTTTTCATCAAAAATGTATTTACTTATCATGGACTAGAACCAACATGGCATGGGCCGTGCACGCATTCGATGTTTTACGCTTCTTGGAGGCCTAGAATCGAAAATGAAGAGTTTCAGAACCTAGCTTGGACAATTTTGAATATCGTAGAAATGGAATATTTCAGAGTCAGATGGGAACATATGGAAAATGCTTTCACCATCGATTGCAAGAGAATGCCTGGCTTGTCTCGTGGGTAACACGTGTTTTTAGAACAAAAATTTAGTTGCAGCTAAACATCACCGATGGCGACGTTGGTCCTAAACAGTCGTTAGAATAATGAATTCACGGGATTTCGACAGTTTTACATCGATCTCTTTATCATTATTTTACCGAAATGGCATATGGAACGCTTCAGTTTGTATAATTCTCAACGTAGACTGTAAAAGACCAACATAGATATAAATGTCGGTTATCTGACGCGCCAGCTTATGTTCCCACTTGAGTATTAAAAATGGCGTTAACACCAAGAAGGGTATAGATGAATTTTAATTTATCGTCATCGATGAAATTTCTCAGTGCTTTTTATATCATCTTAATCGTATGAACTTTAGAGTCGGGTCCCGGAACATCCGCGCGGCGAGATGGTTCTTCTTGTAAAGTACTTTTCCGGATAATTTGAGCAAGGGATAAAGGTTAAAATTGCGAAACATCTGTTCCAGATGAAGAATAAATCGGCGTTAAACGACTGTCCGAAGAGAGCCTGTTTCCAGTGAGGGAGAATGGGACGGCATGGAGGACAGGGAAGGATCTCACCGACGACAACGATAAAGAGTTCAAATGTGCATACAGGCTGAATCGAACGACGCGGCCATTTTGGTGGTTATATGTGGCCACGGGAAGCTCGGCGCGAATTGGCGGAAGCTCGTGGGTCCTGCAGAAACCGGAAGCGGAGAAGACACCGTGTGCGAAAGAATACGCGGCCCTCTGCTGGTCCGCCCTTTTGGCGGCATGGTCCTTTGGGCCACCATACTATTCCTTCAAGGAGCTGGTTTTGTAGGCAAGTTGAAACTTTTACTTGCATAAATCTAAATCCTTATCTCTCTTGTCGGAGAAAAATATTATACTACTAATAAAGCGCATAAAGACGAATAAAATGATTTTGCATCAGTGTCGAATTTTGGAAAAGTTAATTTATTTTCATCTGTTATTTATACGTTATATGTTACAGTAATATGCGATGACGTAAAAACTGCTATAGCAGTGTTTATTATTATNATATATAAAAGTATTCCAACACCGAGATAAAAATTTGAAAGGTGAATTTTCTTGGGTCATTTTTATGTTATCAATATAATGAAGTACTTTCACGGCGACAAAAATATTGCACAGAATTTAACGCCTTTGTGGGAAATGTAGGAAAATTTACGTGAATTCTTGAGGGCGAATATTTTATTTGTGTGGATTAGTATTGGAATGGGAGGGTGGATAGATTGAGGGAATAGGGGATAAAAGTTACTAATTTCTTTTACTTTGCCATGCTTCTTCCAGGCTCTATGACTGGAATCCCAGGCGTGCCTGAAAACATCACAGTTATGTTCCTGAATCCAACATCGGTTCGCGTTTCCTGGAGCACCAGCCAGGTCGAACAAATCGAGAAATACGACGTGACATACAAACCCACAGATGCAAGGTGCGTTTCGCCGATTTACGAGGCATGAAATTTCGACGAAATCTGGAGTCTCCTAAACTCGAAGTCTCTGCTTTTATCTAAATAAATCAACCTATAAAAGGACCTAATTAAATGAAACGACTCTACCATGGATAAGAAATTTAATGTGAATTTCCGAAGGCTTAACCGGATTAAACGAGAACTTCGCACGATTTCTTGCAAATCGAGGCCAATATTTGTACATGAAGTAATTTTCTCTTAGACGTTAAATCGGTGAACTATCATTTTTGTCCCGTTTCTCTGTAAAAGGAAAATCTGCATGGATCTGCTGTAAATTGAAAAATTAACATTGGATTGCAGTCGGGGATGCAAATTGAATAACACCGTCTACTCCGGTGGAGGGATTATTAAGGTGGACATTTATTTACACGAAGAATGTTTACTCATGGTGATAAAAATATTGGCCTTGAGAGGTTATTTTTATTATTATTATTACTAGCTGCTATGATAAGACAGTGGTATCAGTAGGTGGAACATATAGAGGGTAAACGATCTTGTAGATATGTGTTGTCGGTACTCTATGTTGATCTCGTTATTTGTATGCCATTGATAATTCGTATGAACGATGTAGACACTTACAGTGTACTTGCTGCATTAACAAATACTTTCACTTCTCTTGCGGCAAAGGAACCATAACGACAGGTACATAACATGCAGTTTCTGAAAACTTGCGCAGCTCCCACACACCCGAGTAATTACACGTATACACCCCTGCATCATCATGTAGTTTAAAGAAAAAAAAAAGGGAAAGAAAAACTCTGCCAGAATTAAAGACCGCTCCAACAATAGAGTACCTTCCCACTCGATTTACCCAAAATTCAGAAAATTTCAATACACTTTGCAAGTTAAGCAGACTTTGCATCGAGTTCCACGTAGTTTTATTTGTTACAAGCCCTTATAATTGTTTAAAATCAGTTGTATATATTGAATTAACTGTACATAATTTATATATCTCATTGCAGTTTCCTAATATATTGTTGTATATATATCGGAACGTGCAATTGCAAGTAGAATTTGTTATATGGCCATTAAATTAAAGATTTCATTGTAGTAATATATTTTACTTGATTATGATATTTATTAAAAAAAAATACATGTATACAATGGCATTGTGTCCCTCACTGTGTAAATATTCGTTGTATGTAACATGCTGGTTGTATGTAAAATGGATAATTTATTACGACGTATTTTTGTTAATACTTCTTATGTGATGTATAATGACATAGCTATATATCATGTGCTCATTAACTGTTTTGTGTTACTTAATAGCAAGCTAGTAAGCGTGATTGATTGATTTGACAAGGGGATCGAGATTCGCTGTCAGTATGCAACATAGTTGCTGTGCGTAGTGCAAGAAATTAGCATCGTTTCATTTTATGAATAATCTACATATTCGATATTATCTGATATTCAATCAACAGCAAGCCCTGTATCGATAAGACGAGCGCGAAGCTGCATCATCTTTTGATGAAGTTCATTCTTGATAAACATGCTTTCCGAGCTTTGATAATAAATTTTAATATTTATCAAATTCACAATCCATTTCGCCCAGATATTCTTGGTCGCGTTTTTCTTTTTCTTTTGTAATATATCATAGTTTAATGAAGCTCATTCATGATAAAACTACTTTCCAAGCTTTGATATTAAATTTTAATATTTATCAAATGCACGATCAATTTTGCCCAGATATTCTTGGTCGCGTTTTCTTTTTCTTTTTTAATGAATCATCATTTAATAAAGTTCATTCATGATAAAAGTGCTTTCTGTGCTTTGATATGAAATTTTTATATTTATCAAATGCACGATCAATTTCGCTCAGATATTCTTGGTCGCGTTTTTCTTTTTCTTCTTTTAATAAAAACCGACTTAACCTAGAATCCAACGTCGATGAGGTCCCTTTAAGGCGTTCAGTTCCGTTCAAGATGACCCAGCTTTGTCATGCTCAAGGAGGTTGTCAGAGCGTGAAGGATTCCCCTCTGATTATCAGCCCTAAGACCGATAATAAACCACCCCGATGCAAAAACAATCTGATTCGTTCTCGTTTATCTCTAAGGGGAAATTCTTTCACGTTTTTGCAACTCCGCCTCGACATAGGATCGTCTCTCATGTTTTTTCAAAATCTGTCGAACAATGTTTGATCGAAATCATTGTCTGAATCATAACCGAGAAGTGACCCCAGCTGGGATTATTACACATAAATGGGACGTATGTGAGGACATGTCAAAGTCTCGCCTTTATGCATGTCAAGATCAGGATGGGTTCTTGGGTCGTGTATAACTGGACAAAGCATTGCCCGTTGCAGTCCATAATGTCTCCTGAAGCCAATACTGAGAGACCATAACCTCAAAGGACATGAAATTTACTACAAATCGATTATTACGTTTGCTTAGCTTTGTGATTCATATGCTATATCGGTTTATTCTTTGAAAGTATAATTTTGTGCCGACAGGTAAACAGTCTTAAGTCCAGTCGTTCCCAATTTGGAGTTATTACATTTTGATGTCGTTAGGTCAAGTTTTCTGAAAGTTTCTAAAAATGAACTTATTACTCCCTAGTTCCATGGCACAGAAATACAAATCTGTATCATTATATATATAAATGGTGATCAAATTATACATGTTAAAATTGCATTATGATCAATTTGGAGCAGTATTATTTCTTAAATAATGAATGTATAAGTTATTCGTCTTTGTTAGATGAAATAGGTATTCTATTGCAATACAAGAAAAAGAAAAAGCATTTCACATATTACACAACATTTACTCAAGAAAGTTTATGCTTTAAATATTTCTATAAAATACTTTATTAAGTAAAACCCCTCTTATTACCGATAACAGCTTGAATCCTCAGCATGTTTTGGATAAAATTTTTCCCATCATCATTTAATTATTGGCCATAATACCAAACTTTTATTAACGCTTCCATTGCTTATGTTTTATTTGCAATATTTTCTTCGAAGATTTTTCTCTGGAGAAATTTCCGTGCATTCTCGATGGGATCGACTATCAGTATTGCCACTAGAGAAAATCAAAGGCAATATAATTGCTTGGGTTAAAATAATATTGTTTGTAAAGGAGGAAAGAAATCTGTACGTGGAATAATAACAGTTGAATCTGAAATTGTGAGAAAAGTTGTAATGTAACCAATACATTCGCTAGACAGTATCAATGTAAGAATTTAACAGTTTAAAGATGGTTAGGATTGGATGTTTTGGTACCGCAGATAAAATTAGATTCCAATCGTTCAAATTGCTCAATGTTGATCTCGGAGGTCGGGATGCTTAGTCCACGTATACACGATCAAGGGGTGGGTCTAGATCAAAGATCCAATCACAATGTGGAAGTGGTTAGTTACAGGGTGGTGGCGGTGGTCGCGGGGAACAGCGAAGCGGTGACTCTGAGCGGCCTCAGAGCCGATACACAGTATCAGCTGGTCGTTACTGCTGTCAAGGCCGGCAAGAAGCTGAGGAGTCGACCGATCGTCTTCCGTACTCTCGGTAAGTGCCTCGAACGACATCCACCATTTAGAATACATCGAAAGATTAAAAGACAAAAAAATTGATAAGTGGCCGTCACGAGTGTTGGAAGCGAAACTTCTGCCGGTGGGTACGTAGAAAAGGAAAGAGTACTATGATTAAGTAGATGCAGGAATAAAATTGTCGTAATTAGAAAGATTTATTTCTTACGTTGTAATATATTTCTTAATTTTTTTTTTAATCCTTAAGGTGATGTGAAAGCGGTGTCAAAGACGTTCAAGAAACTTTTCTCCAAACTGGGGGTATCGAATCGGTTCGAACTTTACAATATAAGTATGGAGAGTATAAAGAAGGTCCTGAAACTCATGAAATTTCAATTTAAAAAAATTTGATCATACATATTTGTAAAATTTGTAAACGAAAAATGAAATTTCATAAGTGTTAGGACCTTTCTTATAGCCTCCACATCCACGTTGTAGAGTTTGAAACGATTCAGCACACTCACTTCGGAGAACAGTTTCATGAACGATTGACTCTTCAGATGCCACTTTCACATCGTCTTCAAGTATATTATACAACGCGAATCATACGTTTAATTTTACATTTATAATATAATGCATATTTATGGTATCATGGAATACCCGAAAAATGTGACGAAGGTGTGCAATATATTAGTAAACGAATTAGGTTGCATTTGCAGTAGTAAGTGTGTAGTAAATGTAAGGGAAACGAGAATATGAAACGCCCTTACCTCAGTTTACCGTTCTCAATTCATGCATAGGGACGAACTGCGAGGAAACGAATAGGAGAAACACACTAGTCTCGATCTACTGACAGTTTGCGACGTCCTCCCTTGCCGTCCTGATTCACTGTTTCAATACCTACGTACACGCTGGCTTCTTTCTCTTCTTCCCCTTCCCAAACTGAGTCACTGGTGATATGACAGTGAAACAAAATAGTGAAACCTAGCATTCTTCTTCTACCTGTCTCGCCAGGGTCTGGCGCCACGAAGTGGTGATCCTCTGTTACGTTTCACTATTTCGTTTCATGACAATCTCCAAGTTCTGCTGTCTTCATAATCCGATCAATGTGGGGTCTGTATATGTTTCGTCCATAGTCACTACTTACAGTCGGCAAGCTCACGTTGAAACGGCCAAACATCCCACACGGAACAAAAGCTCTATTATACGTATATAGAATGTTTCCATAGCTACGGGATGTTTCAGCATATCAGAAGTTAAAAATATACGTATAATATATGTTCACGGAATGTCAAAAATATTCTATTGGACTTTAGATGTACATTGTGCGTATTAAACATGTTACTAGATCATCAAAATTTGCACCAATTAAATACGTTTATTAAACGTATAATATATCTCTATTTATGAGGAATTTGTATGCGTAGTATTTCACATGCAAAAAACATATTGTGGATGTATGCTGTGGGTATATTAAGGGAAGAAAAACTGACCTATAAAAAACGTAAAATGTACATTTTTTTATGTACGTAATATACATTATATTACTCGCATGATTGATATATGTATGTTATACGTTACTAGAGCATCCACATATTCACCAATTAAATACGCCTAATAAACGTATAATACATCTCAATTTAATAGACTCCTGTATCTGCGATATTACACATGCAAAAGACATCTAATGAACGTATGTTGTGTGTATATTAAGGGAAGAAAAAATGACCTGCCACAGACGTAAAATATACGTACATTCTATGTAAAGAAAAATAAATGATTGTACTTGTATGTTTGATATACGTACTTTATACGTTCCTAGAGCAACCACGTTTTCACAAATAAACAACGTATACAAAACGTATAATATACTTCTATTTAACCAGTTAACTGTGATTGACGAGTATACTCGTCATTAAAACACACGTTTCAAATAGGTCGACACAGTTAACTGGTTAAGGCACACTTGTGTCTGACATATCACACAGGCAAAGATATGTAATATGTGTAAGTTGCGCGTATATTAAGGAAATGAACATTAATTTGCCGTATACATATGACATACATACATATTACATACGTATAATATCAAACATACAGGGAAATTTATTTCTACCCATAAAGTAAATAATACAACAAATGCTCGTAATATGTACCTAGATGTATTCAAATAACATGGAACATTAAATGCTTCTTTGCTGCATGTTCGTTATATGCTTCATTGGTGTGCGACCTGACTACTGTAGACTGAAAATGAAGCTCATACAAAATCAAAAAGATGTCACGGGACATATCGCTTTGGCCGCGACGGTTTTCTTATACAAGTACAAGTATTTGCAAGGAATATATATATATATATATATGTATAACTTATATACATGTCCTTATTTTTGGCCAGAGATTGGCAATATAAATGATATTGATTAAACCAAATTTTAATTAAACTTATTATTGTGGTGTTTTAATATACGAAACGTCTCGCATAATCCATGGGACTACGGTAGCTCAGTGGTCAGCACTACTATAGTCTGTTACCTAAATGATTCGGGTTCGAATCCCGGTCACCACCATGGGGATTTTTTCAATGTCAGATGTTTGTATATCTGGAAGACTTCAGGTCCCTGAACAGATCGTGGTAAATTGTTTCTACAAAAAATGCGTTTAGTGCAAAATAAGTAATACTTTTTTAAATTATTCCACCTACATTTGGAATACGTCTTATATATGTAGAAAATACGTATAATATTATACGTGAGTAATATGTCCAGTGTACGGCTGTTGAACTTTTTAATATAGGCACACCATCTATTGAAACTTTTATTTATTGGTTTATTATAAGTATATACGTCTGTGTCAGATACCTTATATACGTCTACTATACATAATACGTCTACCATATATCTTACTTACATATAATATACATACTTTATCCATATGGAATGTATATTAAATGAAAGTTGAATGTTCAGAAATACATGTACTATATGTTGACGACGCGGAAATTTGTACATGCCCCAGCACATTCCGTATACTTTTGTATACATCTATTACACATCTGAATGTTTTAGCCAGATATCCTATATACGTATACCATATCTAGTTGCCCGTGTGGGATGTCGAACGACTAAAAAATTTGGAGAATAGAAAAATTTCAGCAAGTTCTTGGTTTTCAAAATAATCGCTTCAGAGGTAATATTTGAAGGTGCTTCGAATTTATAATATGGATCTTATATTTCTGTAAATTGAAAAATATTTATGTGGTGTCTGAGATAGGTATGGGTAAATAGAGAGTTGGGGCTTGAACTCTGTACGCCTGAAGAGTATTTGCAATTCCATCGATGGGATGTTTCGAAAAAGTGGTGGGCGAGTTCCGAACGGGTCGAGCGACGAGTTCGGATGCCTCCTCGAGAACTTACTCCACCCTCGGGAATTTGGAAACCGATGAAACTGAATTTTTGTCGACAGGAAATGCACTCGGGAATTTTAAATATTCACTGACCTGGACTTATGCAATTCTTGGAATTATTTCATCTTCGGAAATATTCTGATTCATCCCTTGCGTCGATCTTATATAATAATTGCCGCAAATTCATGATTTCTTATAATTAAATCAAGATACGATTTAATTTGTGTTTGGGTTTTACAGCTTCGAACCGATCGTCTGATATTTACGGGCGACCTGAATTCTCTCTTCTTTAATTGATCTTGCATTTCACGGCAGCTATTCGCATTTGCTCCGCACTTTTAATGCCGATGGAACGTATTAAAATCTAGAGGCAAATCCAAACCGCACTTGTAACGCGAAGTTCAGCCGGAGCGGAATATTCGCATGATCAATTCCAATTTCACATGGCCGACATTGGAGTCATGAACTCTGGAAAAATTAATTGCTGAAAAATAACTTCTGAAAATGTAATTCTGAGATCGAATAGTAAATTACAGAAGAATACAATTTTTGTTTCCTTTTTATATCATCCCGTGGAGCTTCATTTCCTGTTCCATTTTTCTTATTTTTTTGCCGACACATTGACACGATGACTTTGCCCGAGTCTTTCGGTTACCAATCATTTGATAGCAAAAAGGCATCGGGGTCCAGAACGTTTATCACGTTATCGAAAAAACGACATGACAAATGTTGTCCCGCTGTCTCCACGGAGAATGATTTTTCTTGGACTCAATAAGAAAGAACATTTGTCGTTGTAAAACTTCAAGTATCAGGCGATTTCGAAAAATTGAAGTTTATACTTCCTTATTAAGTGAGAAAATTATACATAAACAGTATTGGAATGCAAGCCGAATTTTAAAAGCATCGGATATTCTATTAAAATTAGAAAATTTGCCAATTTATTAATAAAATTAGATATCATTAGTTAAAGCCTGCAAATAGTGATATTTATTGTTTTAATTTTTTTTTTGCGAAAACGGATTTGTGCTGTAACGTATCAAGCTTTCATGAACTTTAATGTTTCCCAGGGTTATGAAGTTTTAAGTTGTTAATGTATTTGATGGCAGAGGTTTAAGAATGGCAGGTTTATTAAGTAACTTCAGGAAGCTTTAATTAGCAAAATCCAGAACTCATACATTTTCCAATCTAGTTGACGTTACGGGACACTGGACAACGAAAATGTTAGAGGCCGAGATTATTCAGTGAAATTTACAATTTTGATAAACAATACTAACTTCATAAAATGAATAATCTCAGTCTCTGATAAATACACTGTGAGCCAACTGAGATGCTACTTAAATAATAGGAGGAATTGTTCTCACCAAGTAGAAAAGTCACAAATCAAAAACTATAAAAAAGGTGCTGAATGTGAGTTGTTTAATTGAGTTGTTTAATTGCGTACGAGAGTGCAACATGAGCAAATCACGTTGAAAAGGAACAGTCGACTGCAACCTCTTCTCTGAAATTAATGAATTTCCCTGTAGACTTTAACTCGATGTAATTTCTCGTATGCGCTGAAAATCAGCTTAAGCTCTTTTAAATTCTTTATGAAAATCTTCAGTCTTAGGATTGGATGTGCATTTTGCGTCAGCCATTAAAAAGTTTAATGCAGATCGCGACCCTCAAAGAAGACAATCTTTTTTAGAACGTTTTGTTTTATTAAGTACGTTTCGATCGACCTGGTACCTGGTATTCAGACTTGGTGACCAGATACATATAAATTTACTATACTTTGCTATAAACTATATAGTATTGAAGTTGACATTGCTATTTCCAAAATTAATGTTTAACAGAAGTAATTGTCACAAGATATTTACAACTTAAACTATTTACAGAACCGCCAAGAACGTCTCCACAACAAGATTCGTCAGTAACCGGAGGACCAATTCCTCCTCCTCCATCTGCTCAACAACCTCAGCCATATTTGCAGGTAAATATTGCATAACGATTTTTCCATAAACACTGGATAACTTCAAAGTAATAGTTCTCTTTACTTATTTTATATGAGAATCATATTTTATACATACTTATGCTTTAAATTAAAATACTGACAGTTGAATCTTAGCCTTTATCTTTAATTGGATATTTTAAATAAGGGATGTAAAAGTTATACTTCAAAAATTGTATAAAAGGTGGACGAGCTTTGCGTTTCCTGGGGTCATTGGCTTCGCTTCACGTTTTGTGTCCAACCTGACAGAAATAAGATCTTTGTCAAAGTAACTTTATTAGAGGCCTTCAAAGCACGTACAACTCTTTCATCTTCGCGGATATCCCTCTATTTCGTTCTTTGCTCCTCACAAGTCAGAAATACATGTTTACCGCCAGCAAATTTTAGGGAAATAAAAATGAAAGGCACGGACTTTTATGAGGTGTTGAAGGTCGGAGTAACGAGATATGCGAAAGTGGCGGAAACGTCAAAATAAAAAATACTTATTCTACGAATATGCTCCCCCTGAATATAGACCCACACAGAACATATACCTATTGTATATGTTGGGACGTTATTTTACTGCTATAACTCTTAAACACAGTTCTGGCAATTAAGGTTCCGACTCTCTGGGGAAGTCATACATAAATAATTAATAAAATGGGGTCTCCGTCGCGTAATCGCTCTACAGCAGCAAAACTTTTGGGCGCCAGGCCCTCCAAAGGGCCAATCCGGGATCCGAACCACACGGGCCCAATCCGTCGGGGCTCGCACCAGCGTACGGGAGCTCACGCACCACCTCCCAACCCGCCCACGGATTCGCACCAGCGTAAGGCCCGAAGGGTCGGTCCCTCAACTAACAGAAGCAAAATTATTTTAAAAGTCCCAGACACGTAAAAATTGAACTAAAGGTAGCGATACGAGACGAGACGCAGCGTCGCCGACGACGAAAAATAAACCGGGCTAGCTCAGTACGCTCAAGCGGCCGCGGAGAGGGCGGGGTCCTTTCAAAAAAAGCAAACCAGAGACGGAATTAAATTAAGGGCCTATTTATTTCAAAATGGAAACTGTTGGCTGTAACAATCTCAAAATGGCCACGGGCGGGCCCACAATCCGGTACCGACCCGGGCGACGAAGCGCGCGCTCGCGCTCAAAGGGACGATGCGCGCGGCGAGGCGCACGGGAAAGAATCGGTGGCTTTAGACAGCCCAAAAATTCAACAACGCAAAATTCAAAACGCGAAATCCAAAATTCCAACAATCCAAAACGCTAAACGGATTTCAACTATAATTGGGCTCGACTACGGGGCAAGAATATTACTCCAATTAAAGCGAACACGAAAATTAAGAATAGCACGCACTAAATTAATTTTGGAAATGTTACAAGACGAAACTCGCGAAGAAAATATTCAAACGGAGAACAGGCGCAAGAAAATCAATCAAGGTTTACGCGAGTAAGGCAGCGATACACAAAAAAAATACAAGGCAAAGTAGCGCAAGAAAAGGCAGCAGATTCCAAATATCAGCGCAAATCAATTCAAAACGCAAGAGACAAAAGATTTCGAACACATGAAATTTTCATAAATTACATAGGCGCGGACATAATTATAATCAAATAAATCGTATCACATAACAAAACTAATATGGTAATATCATCGAAATTTCCGGACATAAATTCATGGGTCGATTTAACTGGAACCGCTTAATCGAAGGCAGGCACGGTTAGCCAAAAAATATTCAGCTCGAACGGAAGAAGGTTAACGGGGTTCGCCTATCGCGAAAACGGATTTTAAATCACGGGGGGATCGCACTTCGCGAACACAAAATGGAATTTACTGAAGTTTGCACTTCTCGAAACAGACTGAACTAACGTAAAATTCGCACTTTGCGACAAAACGAAATCTAATGGGAAAGTCGCACTTCGCGAAACAACGGAAATTAATGGGAAGTTCGCACTTCGCGAAACCAAAGAAGTTTACCAGAAATTCGCACCTCGCGAAATAAACGGAATTTATGGTGAAGTTCGCACTTCTCGAAACAAAAGGGGTTTAACGTGTCGACCGCTCAAGCCAGCATTCTCGAGTTCGGGTCGACACGGCTTCTTGATCCGACCGAGGAGAGAGGCAGCAAAAGATAATTTATTTCGAAAAAGAAAAGGCCGCTCACACGAGACTTTGGCCGAAAATATTAAAAGGGCCGCTCACACGAGACTTTGCCCGGAAAATAGATCGAGGCCGCTCACACGAGACTTGGCCGTCAATCTTAGCAAAAGGTCGCTCACACGAGACTTGACCAATTAAACGCGGAAGGGCCGACCGTGTGGCGCGCGGCCCGACGACGGGTTACCCGGGGAAACGCGAAAACCGCGGAAATTCAACAAAAACACGGTAGACACAATTTCCAAGAAAACAAAAGGTAAAGTACGCTCAAACCTCGGGCTTGGAGAGTGCGACAGCGCTCCCGCGGTGTCCTGGAGTTCCACCTACGGCGACGATGCTCCCCAGGCGTCCTTTCTGTTGGAGGTAGCGGTTGCGGGCGAAGGCAGCGAGCTGTTTGGAAGGCGTCCACACGGCTCGAAGCTCACGGACCAAGAAGGCCGGGTCTTCGCTGAGGTCTTNATAATATCTATTTTATGTATATCAAAACTCAGGTCAATGTTGAACCAATGTTGCAACATATTGCACAAATAATGGGTATGTTATTATGGACATTTATTATGTACCTGTGGCACTGTCAGTATTCTTATATATTTTCATTCTGAAGGGGAGGTATATCTTTATTCATTGCTTGGTGTGGGTGTGTTATTGTTTCGATTATCGTGTTTCCCCTTCCCTCGGTCCCCGGGTTGAGGACAGTCTTTCATCGAAGCAGAGCTAGAGTATCGACATCTGATACAGTAAAGCAGATCAGTATTGGGACTTAAACATGAAAAATGGTATTGGGTCTTACGTACAAATGAACTATGTTACGTACCACTTGCGGGAAAGCCACATGAGGGTCATGCGCCATCTATCGGACCCTGCCGAAACTATTTGTGGTAACCGTCAAGAGGAACAACAGTAGATAGCGGTGTCTGAAGACGAAAAATATAATACTGAATGTAAAAATAAATAGGTAATGGATAAAAAATGTGCCAATGACGATAATGATAAGTTTACAGCAAAAAGACACTTACCTCCAACATTCTCGTGCAACTCATTAGAATCTTCTTGAACTGAAGAGTATATGGGATATCCACACATCTATAGGAAATCTATTTCATTCATATACACTAGCTATACTGAAGACAGATATCTATTTTACGTATACAAATCTGTATCACGTATACGCTCTTATTAGACATTCTCTAGATAATCGCAGACATCAGAGTTTGATACATGAATATCTATGGTTGATCTATATCCTCATATACTGTTCATATATAAAAGATATGTATTTATATTACGTCTACTAAACATCTAAAAAGTATATGCATAATAGATAATCACAGATATCTAGGTTCGGTATATGCCTATTTATAGGGATTTATAAGATATCTGTAAATAGCCAATACGAGTATATAATGCGTATATGATTTACGGATTATTTACGTACAATAAACAACCGTATAATTCGGCATGTACAACTTTTTCCAGTCCTCGTTACAGATTTAATGTGAATGTACTAATGCCCTTGTAGATATATCACAGACAATAAATATACGTATGTTTCTCTCACACTCTCCCTTCTGACCTTTCTTGACCTTCTGACCTCTCGGGGGGTCAAACCTCGATAATTGCGTCCATCTACTGAACACCAATTATGTATATATCTTTTCGACGTTAAATAAACCTAATATAAATGTCTACTTTTTGTACATGAATAGGACATGCGGATATAGATCAATCGTAGATATTCATGTATCGAACCCCGATATCTGCGATTATCTACAGAATATCTATTTTGTCTACATCTTTCATGATCTCAAATAGACGTGATATATATTTTTTGTATATGAACGGTATATGCGGTTATAAACCAACCATAGATATGCATATATCAAACCTAAATATCTACGATTATCTAGGAAACATCCATTATGGATGTATATTAGTTATATTAAATGGATGTTATATGTACATCTACTTTTTGTATATAAATAGTATATGCTGATATAGCCCAACCATAGATTTCCATATATCAAACCTAGATATCTGCGATTATCTGTAGAATATCTAATGAGTGCGTAAACGTACTATAGATCTATATACGTAAAATAGATATATATCTTCCGTATAGCTAGCGTGTATGAACGATATCGATCTCCTATAGATGTATAGATATTCCATATATATCTAATATACATATATTATACCTATCATTGCGTGTGGGGAGGGTATAAAATATCTGTGCCTATTTTATTCTCAGGAAAGTTTTCATAACTTATCTTTTTTTTTCTTCTTACTACAAATTCCGTACTCTAAATTTATCCCTGTTAAAATATTAAACGTTAAAATTAAAGCCACTTTGAAAATAAGACGTTACAAACCGAGTACCTAAAAATATGAAGAACATTAAAGAAAAAATATTCCAAGATAACATTTTATTGCAAACTACAACTCTATGGACGTTCATGTTTAAAGAAAGAGAGCTTGTTCGCATCGGGAAGAATGCACCTGTATTTCTTTCGGCTCTGTAAAAAGTTTCCCTTATTTTTGACTTTTTTGCCTTGAGGGAGTAAACCCTGTGCACGTCGGCCCCCAAGGTTGGGGAAATAAAGATGAAAGGTGCTCCGAGAATTTTATGGGGTGTTGCAGGAAACTGCAATAAGACAGCGAAGGGCACGGGAAATATAGGTACAGAAAAATATTTCGCGGCAGGAAGCATCCCAGCTTACCGCGCATTTTCCAGGATACGTCTTGCCCAGGAGAATCCTTGAAAAAGGACCACATTCGACTGCTCCTTCGGTCCAAGCCATCGGGGCAGAAACTCTTCTATTTGTTGCCTCTTGTGAACTCCACGGCGAGAATGGTCTCGATGGGAAGGGAGGAGAAAAACAAATGAAGTAAAAAAGAAAAGCTCCGGATGTTTTCCTGAAAGCTCGAAGCTTTTGCATGCAGTAGCTGGATCCGTTTCTTGTCAATCTTGCAGAAGGACCCTGAAGCATCGTAGAGTCATTTACAAGCAGGGGAATATTTTTAGTTTAAATTGGCCCCTTTAAACAAATGAACGTACTATATAAGACATAAAATATTGTATATCAAAAATAAGCTCAGAGAAGGTATCCTAGATATATTCTTTTAATTCGATATGCAAGGATCTCTAGGCTCACTAAAGCACGTGAATCTAATTCTTTTAAATGCCGCAATATATTTAAAAAAATAATTAAAAACAGTGTTTCTTATCCCACGATGGGTATAGTTTAGGTAACATCTCCTAAAGGTGGTTTATTCTAGCGAGGGTACATGAAGTAAATGGAATATTTTTCTTTCAAAGCAATGCTTCTGTGGATGGATAAAACATTAAAGGCTGAGTCAGTACCGTTCAATTAAATTAATTCTGAAAAAGGTATGTACACCCCGCGATCGAGGTAAAGAAGTCAAGTGGAGAGACGAGAGGCCTTTCATTGCGGATCTGGTTTCAGTCGGGAAATAAGGAATTCGGCGAGTCGATCCTTGGGCTATTTTAAAGAAACCCAATATTTCCCAGCAGAAAATATATCGCCGGGTAAATAAATCCCGCAGGGAAGACCGTTCCAGGCGCATCCAATTTGACGGTCGCGAAACAAGACGAAGTCCTGACGACGTCTGAAAAATCCCTGTACTCGATAGGGAGAGCTTTGTGGTCTTCCGAATAACTTCGATAGGCAACTCCTGGGAACTGCAGCCGCTTCCTAGATAGTGAAACTTCCTTCCCATCTGGGAATCTCGTTCAAGCACCACTTAAGAAGGCTAAACTTAATCACTCATTGTCAGTGCGAGTTCTGGGCCGAAACTCAATTTGACTCTTTGACCACAAGGGTTGCCTATGGACATGAGTGTGCTCTATGTGTAACGAGTTTAATTAAAAACACCGAGTTTCGAAACGGGTACTAGTTTTTATGCATACTCAACCTGTAAATTGATCAAAATTTGATTTCAAGAAAATACCAAACTTATTTCCTCTGGCTTATCAGAATAGTAGAGACGCAAAGAAAACTCCAAAATTGGGGCGCGGGAAGAATGATTGACCCTTTGCGGTCCTATGTCGAGGCTGATTCGACATTTACAAGGCGATTTCAGAATTTCGGAACGCAAAGGGTTAAAGGATGTTCATGCTAAATATTTGACTCGCTAGATTGAAAGATTCACCTTGAAGCTTCCTCAAACCGATGTACAAATCCCAAAAAATAAATCCTAAAAAATAAAATCTTATAAATTCTTATTACCGTAATAATCATTTGGATTAAATTAGATCACTGCTTCCTATGATCTTTAACACTATTTCTACCACGATTTTGCGTATACCTATTTCGACCAAAAGGTTTTGATGAGCTAGAGGAAAATGATACCGCTAAATAAATTTAACAATTATTATACGAAAACTCAATACATTAATTGAGAAAAAATTATTAAACTTTGAAAGTAATTTCAAGTTAAAATTTTAAAAGGTGTCTTTTGACACCTTTGGTAGAAATAGTGTTAATGTTTGGAATTCTTCTACATTGTATTTTCTTCTAGCATTGTTTTTAACGAAATGTTTCAGGTTTAGAATATTGAGATAGAGTTACAGGGTATTAAGTAAAGTCAATTAATTTTTCTGACTTATTCGCTCTGTCTTTTTTTTAATTATAGATACGTGGCGTGGAAGTAGGCATAGTCGTCCTGGTGTTAATAGTCTGGGCGGGGGCGATAGCCCTGTTTTTCAACCGATGGGGTAAAATTCGCATGTTGCTGCCATATCAGCCCGACTACAAAGAGCAGCTCAAGGTTCCTGGAACGGGGGTTTGCGCTGCAGCAAATGCAGCTTGCACTCAGCACTCCTCGCAGCACGCTTGCTCCCAGGTAAGACGCTGACAGCACAAAATTGCTCATTTACGTTAACAGGGACCGAAGGTGTGTAGACAGCATCGATACATCCTTGTAACTATACGGTAACGAAGTCTGCGTGCATCAAATATTAATACGCGTAATGTGTGAAGAACAATGGAAACACTATAAGATAAGTGCTTAAATGAGATTCACCAGACAGTTTTCCATAAAATGTTCACTTCTACAGAGAATGCATTTAGCAAGATTTGTTAGAAAATGATTGTTAAGAGCAATTGTTAGGACTGTTTTTTACTGTTCAGGAGGATTTGTTAGTTTTACCTTCGTGCAGTTAATAACTTAGTAACTAGAACGTATTCTTATAAAAAGACTTTGTTACGCTGCAAAGCCAAAAAAGTTTCATAAAAAAACATAAGCCTCGTGGTTTTTGTCTGGAAAGTTATGGAAATGGCAAATAAAAGGGTCGTTGTTTCATTTACTCTGTAAATGGAGAAAAATGTTTTTCCAAATGTTTTCTCAACAAAAGTGCAGTAGATCTGTACCCCACTTTCCGAGCTTATTACTTTCCATTGTCATCAGTCCGTTCCAACCTGCATTCATTTCCGCAACTCACGAACGACATTGAAAATAATAAATTTGAACGACAGTACCGGGAAATTCAATTTCACGTATGTGGTTCCTCGGAAGAGAGGGAATACGTTTGCATTGTTTAGGCGCAAAAGTGGTTTTATTTTTCTCTTAAGTTGCCACGTGGGTGCAGAAGAGACGCAATTTTACAAAGGCGATTCGAATTCTGCCAGAGAATTTTCACAAGAATTCGCAATTCGATAATATCCAATATCTGCTTCTCATCCTTATCGTCAAATAAAATCGCTACTGAAGTCAAACTTCGTTTCAGCGCTCCAGATCAGGCAAAAAGTCGATATAAAAGTGATTTCGAAAATACAAATGAAATTTTCCTTTTAAGGAAAGTATTTCTTTCTACCGTAAAATCACCTTATACCTGCACTTCGTTAATACCCAATATTTACTTCTCATGTATGTCAAATAAAATCGCTACTGTAACTGTTACGTGGCGGCCAAGCGGATGCAAGGCCGGGGTGATTAGGGTAGAGATTGCCCGCATTTTGCGCGTAACGAGTATTCTAATCTTGCGAGGAGATTGATCCGAGCGGCTAGATCAATTCCTCTGGTGGAATCTAGGGAAATGAGGACTGAAGAGGGAGTTAGAACGAATGGCAATGTGGACTAGTGTGCTGTAATGTTGCATTTATTCGTCCGTGAGGTTTAATTTACAATCAGCTGGGAGGGGTACCCGAAGTGCCTTGACCTAATTTTCACTGGGTTATTATACTTCCGCGTCGCGGCGATTCGGGTGTCGTGATAGCGTACTTTAGCGGCGGTAGGTTACTGAACGCCGGGGTGCTGACGCGGGAATTCTTTGCTGTTTAATGGCGGTCTGCGCGTGATTCTAGTCTATCTCGCGATGCTGAGATTTCGAGCTCAGCCGTTCGAAGGAAGTTAATGAAATCTTAATCAATCCGGTTAACCGGAGCAAGGCAGGAAAATCGCGATAATGGTTAGAATTTGATTTGATCGGATATGAGGGGTTAAGAAGTAAACTAGAATGGAATGAAGATGAGTCGAGTTTGGGAAGGATCCTCTACCTGGCTTGATCAGTGGCTGAATTCGGTGACACTCTTCTTTAATCGTCCCAGCCGGATGACTGCGCGTGGACACCTTCGTTCCGTGGCGTGCCCTAGGGTTGGAGGTCTCCTAGAACTCTCCCGTCCAACGGAAGTCTCAGTGTCGCCGTCTGTTCCTGACTCGGTGCGCTGGGATCGCTGGAGTACCGGATGGCACTACTTCGGCTCGTAGGGTAGATGGTCTTCGACAGGGAGTCCGGCGGTCTCGGTCTCTGACTTGCTAGGAACGGGGTACCGAAGAACAGGAGCTCCACTCGAGGTTGTCGACGGACGTCGACGTTGAATTGACTTGCAGAGACTAACTACTGAATGACATGCCGTCCCGATCTGGAGGCTGGTTTTATTAGCAGGGTGTTCCAATTGGTGGGAGATCCTAGGGCCCAGGTAAGGGTGGCACTTCTGGGTCGTGCTGACGCGTTGTGTAGTCAGCAGGTTGTTCGCCTCGGGTCGATCGATGACTTTTGGAGTCGTCTTAACCGATGAACTCGTCGTGTCAGGTGATTGAGTGTTGGATCCTTTTGTAAGAGTTTCCTAATCGCATTTTCGTACTCGGATTTCCATGGCTAGCTTCCGGTGATCGGAAAATGGGTTTTTCCTTAGGTTAGGGTACGGAGGATGCCTACGTAACATAACCGTCAAACATCGTTTCGGAGCCCTAGATAAGGCATAAACTCGTTCTAAAAATGATCTTAAAAACACAGAACAAGACTTTTCCTTTCGAGGAAAAGGGTTTCCTTTCGCCGTAAAGTCGCGTTATTATCTTCAATTCGATAATAACCAATATTTGCTTCTCATACATATAAAATGAAATTGCTACTTCAATTGTCAAACGTCGTTTTGACCCACAAGTTCAGGTATAAAGTCGTTCTAAGTGACTAGTCTTCTAAATGACTTTAAAAGCACAGGAAAAAAAAATCGAAAATCGTTTTCCTGGAAAGGATTTCCTTCTGCTGTAGTCGCGTTGCATTGCCAAAGTCGAGGGGACGTTCACTCAGGAAAACATGGATTTTAATGCTCGAAATCACGTGGAAATCAGCTGGAAGTCGCAAGCAGAAATCACTGGAAATCGTAAGAAATCCCTGAAACATTGCCACAATTTTAAAGCCGACCGTCATTTGTTACCGAATCGCATTTTTATTTATCATCTGAAATCAAAGGCAATCCGTTCTCAAAGAAGGAAATCGTTTTCACTGATTTTCGAGAGAATAGCCCCTTGGCCAGAATCTAGAGCCACTGCGCGAGGTCTTCAATTGGGTTAGATTTTTCGAAGGGAAATAAATAATCTGAATATTCATGGGTTGCGAACTGCAGATTCCTGTGAATTTCCTCAGGATGTTTCGCGGCGTCTTTAACGCGTCCTGTTTCCCCGCGAAACGAAGAATCCCTAACTGCATGCATAAAATCTTATTTGCAACTGCGTGATGTTGTTCCCGGCTGAATATTTTACATTTCGTTCCTTTGCGTTCAAATGCCGGCTGATGTTTATCCCAATGGCAATTATGCGTGTCCGACCTAAGGCTCCTTTACCCCACACTCGCTGTTTTATCTTATAAACCAACGTGACGGCCGAGGAACGTTAACGACGATAACGTTGTCGCCGACAAATGGAAAATCAGGAAAATTCAAATTCCCGTTCAGGAGTTCCCAGAAGGGCGGAATAGGGGTAAATTATTTGCTCGAAACCCGGACTTACATTATCTCTCGTGTTATCGTATGCAAAGCACTCGATCGGTAGAAATCTATTTTTAAAAGTCGTGTAAAAATATACTTAAAACAGCTGTTAAATTCCACAGTGATTCGTGTTTTAATAAATCACTCTTAAAATACATGCACGAAATTATGACCCTACATTAAAGTATCCACAATAAAAGTATTTTCATAAAAAATGAGTACTTTTCACGCTTGTATAATTAATTAAGCTAATGATATAATAAATTCGTATGTGAACAGATATTAATTAAATATCGGATAAGAATTTTTCGTTAGAAATTAAGGAATTTCATCAGTATTTAGGGCTTGGTCTTGTCGGAAGGTATAGACGGAGAGATTTGGATGTCATCTCTATTCGATCCTGTGCTTACATACTGTACAGAGTATATGTAATATGTATAATAATACATATATACCGATACGGATATCCAGCGACACACACATTGGGTGCTCGTGGGAGTTCCTCTCGGTATGTTTCCCAGAAAGTGGGAAAACAGGGAACACGGGGAAATAAAAAGAGACAGGGTGGCGCTTATTTTGGTTGCTCGTCGGTACGCAAAAACTCTTTGCTCTACGAATGTATTCGGTTGGTCCACGGAGAAATGGGAACGGTTCATGACTAATTTAAGCACATCACATTTTCAACGAATAGGTATATTTCTCAGCATATCTGGACTGTTTCGATTTCTTTTAATTTTGTTTTTATTTAAACAATTGATCGATTACAAGTAGGACGTTTCCGAATTGGGGTTATAAATTGTCAGGACGTTCAGTGTTAAAAATGTTTCTGAAAAGAACAGCTCTGTTAATTGTACGGATTTATCAGGGCCCAAATAAAAATTAAAAATATTGACGATCTTTCTAGCCTCTTGTACATTAGAAATTCATTTAATTTTCATTCTTATGTCAGGAAAAAATGTTTTCTGGTTTTTTTTTACGGGTCTCAAACCTTGTGCAGTTAAATTTAATTGAAACTGTCATTAACGAGCATCAGCGATGCGTTACGATGTTCATTATATCTTTTTTAACGACCACCTTCGGTATCGAGAGAATTTATGTCGTAACATCAATTTTCTTTTTCTCGATGTGAAATGTCGCAATTTGACATTTATTTTTTCAACGTAAAACTTTTAGGGTACATCGAGCGTTCAAACGTTTTACACCTTTAGAATAATTATATTTCATTGTCAGATGTGAAAGTCATGTGTAAAAAATATGTTAACGATTCTTCTTACTGGAAATTAAGTTGGAAAATATTTCTTCCAACGTTGCTGATTATTTTTTAGGAAAGTATAATTGAGATAAACAATTCAGCATGGGAGTAATTGAACATTAAATGCTCAAGGCTATGGAAGAAACAAGGACGTTATCTTTAAAAATACATTAAACCTTTGCTTTTTTTCGGTTTATTAAAAATATCCTGCGTCTACCAAGAGAGATAACAACCTTTATCTACTTTTTGTTGGTAAGTGTAGGTACGACAAAAATAACTTATTAAAATACACATTATATTTATACGTTATAATACACTTTTACAAATTATTATATCCCTTTTGTGATTAAATGTTCAAATGTCATGTTAATACATTTACGTATGTA